TAAATCCCTTTTAACAAAGTGTTCAGTCTTAAATGAACTATCATAATATATTTTAAAATTTATCTTTTACTTTAAAAAAAAAAAGAAAATACAAATTTTTTGGACTAATTTTTTTTTGTAAAACCAATTATTTTCACCAAAAATTCAAACAGTAAGAAGGAAAGAAAAAAGCCTGCAATAAATTAATTTGTTTTTTATTTAAATATGAAACTATTTCCAATTACACAAACCATACTCTAGTATGGCTATATTTCTTAAAGAAATAAAAAAGTTATACATTTTTTACGACATATATAATTTTGTTAAAAAAAAAAAATTTATCCATTTAAAAAAAATAATAAATAAATAAAATTTCATTACAAATTTTGTTACAAAGTAAATATGAATAAGGAAATTGACTCCTTGCAATAATTACACAATTTTATATATATTTGTACTTAAACATGATCATTATGTTTTTGACAAAATTTCTTTAATTTTTTAATCGAATAGTAGGATTAGCTAACAGTTATTGTCCTAAAAATATTAATATTGTGCTATGAAGAGCTAAGAGGATGATCAAGCAATAAACAGTTCCTCTTTAAATTAAAACAAAAATGATTATCACAAGTTTTACACTTATATTGAGATCTTCTAACTAGTTTTTTAAGTCTATAACATCTAAAGCAATTTCTTCTCAAATTTGTGGGACATGGAACAACACAATGTTCCCCAATAGGTAAAATGGTTTTAAATAAAGGAATATTCATTGCTTTGGTAATGCTTGCTAATTCTTTTATTAATTCTATTGTAAAATCTAACTGAGAGTATCTTTTGTGTCTAAACAGTACTTTGAAATCAGAATTAATTTTTCTATATTCTTGAAATAAAACAAATGAGTTAACCCTAGCAATGTCTAAAAAATGATGCAGCAAAGTCTTCCAGAATTTATTAGTTTTTCTCAATACTTTATATTTTCCTATCATCTGATCTGATCTGTCTACTCCCCCCATGTATATGTTATAATCCTTGACTACGCCTGGCTGATTAACTTCAATATGCTGAAACTCATTATTTATCTTCACTCGCCTAGAACAAACAAATCTTTCTGATAAGGTTTTATGCATTGTTGTTAAAATACTAACTAACTTATTATCTTTCCACTGAACTAATCCCATATTTCCCATTCTAATTCATCTCATTTTCCCCCTCTCACCCTTTTTAATAAAATCTTTTGTATTCTTAAAATGTACAGGTAAATCTTTTCTATTCATCAATATTGTACCACATGCCACTACTTTTTCCCTCAACAAACTTAAAAATAATTGTATAGAACTATAAAAATTATCCATGAACAGCCTATACCCTTGACCAAAAATCTGACTACACAGTTCCATTACAACATTATAAGCTAAGCCATATTTAAATTTAACCCCATTAACTGTCTTCCCTGTGTAAAAGAACTATAAAAATTATCCATGAACAGCCTATACCCTTGACCAAAAATCTGACTACACAGTTCCATTACAACATTATAAGCTAAGCCATATTTAAATTTAACCCCATTAACTGTCTTCCCTGTGTAAACCTGATAGTTAAAAGTATATCCAGTTATTGAATCAGCTAAAACCCAAATTTTCATCCCCCATTTAGTTGGTTTATCTTTAATGTATTGTCTAAAACTGTACCTACCCTTATTTTGAACCATTCTTTCATCTACACTAACATATTTATTTGGCTGCCAATATTTCATACACTTACGTCTAAGAATGTCATGTAAAAACCTAACTTTAGTAAGCTTATCTTGTCTATTTTCAGTTTCTGGATTGGATACTTTTAAAAAACATTGGATTTGCTTAAATCTATACCTTGTCATAAATGCCCTTGCCCAGAGACCATGAAATAGTACTTTTTTGGACCAATAATAGTTAATACTTGGGGCCTGTACAATACTCATGTACATCAAAAGAGAAAAGAAAACATATAATTCTAATACCTTGTCATAAATGCCCTTGCCCAGAGACCATGAAATAGTACTTTTTTGGACCAATAATAGTTAATACTTGGGGCCTGTACAATACTCATGTACATCAAAAGAGAAAAGAAAACATATAATTCTGAAGGGGTAATACATTTCCAATATTTTGAATAAGAAGGCTTGAGCTGAGCTTGGGCTGTAGCGTAGTCATTAGTAAAGTTGCAAATTTTCCTCATCACTTCATCACAAAAAAATAATTTAAAGAATGAACCTGTAAAGGAAAATATCACTGGATTAATCATAATATAATTTAAGTAAAAGGAAATAATTTTAAATATTTCTTCATATAAAGTTTTAACTTATTATCAAATAAATCAAACAGGTTTAAAATAATATTAATTAAAAAACGAGTTCATCACTTCTACTTTAACATTCCAATAATAAAATAAAAGTAGATAAAACCTTACCAACTGTGCTGTATTTCAGTAACTCTCCTCTTGTCTCTGGTTCAGAATCTGTGAAAAGGTGAAGTCCAGGTTTCCTTGGAGGGAGGAATTTCGGAATATGGTATGTGGGTCCATCATCTACATCCCCGTAACTCTTATCCCCATCATGGGCTGAGATAATATCCACTGGTTGACTGTAAATAAAAAATTGTAATACCATTGTTACTAATATTCTAATTATGTTGTCTAAATCTTAAGTCTACTACTACTACTACTACTACTACTAATAATAGTATACAACAAATAATAATATTAATAAAAAATACTGAACAATATTAATAAATAGATTTTAAAATTAAAATGTTAATAAAGAAGATGAACCCTAGAGGTTATAAATTAATGAAATTTCGATTACTTTCAAATCAATGTTAATACTTTTACTTATAATTGCGTAATCTATAGTATTACTGGCAAAAGATATAGCAAGATATCGGAATGCCATTTCACCGGAAGAGTGTTTACGCTTAGTCGTAGCCATTCTATTTAAATATAAATGTATTTAAAATGTATTTAAAATTTATTTACTTCTAATAAATGTTTGAATGCGTATATGATGTTATTATAATTTTATTAAAAATAAAAATATACAGTTATCGTATGGTAGATTTTACAACAATTTTTAAAATCAGAAAGAAATTTATTTTTTTCAAAATCTTACTTGTTTTCGATAGTGTTAGGTAACACATTTTCATCAAAATCTTCGTTATTATCTTCCATTTCTTCATCATCGGGTTCCCATTCTTCAGAAGAAGAAATTTCTTCTTCATTCATTTCAGAATCTGACTTATCGGATGACATTTTGATTTTTAATTAATTTTTTAGCTCATGAAGTCACGGCATGTGTTTTCGAAAGAAAAAACAGGAAAACAAGAAAGTTACATTAAAAAAAAGTTTCGATTTTTTTTAAAAATTTAAATAGTTAATTCAAATTTTGTATTTTATATTTTTTTTTATAACAAATTTAACCAATTATGTTAATAATAAAACAAAAAAACCAACAAATTTTGTATAAAAACTTGATTTTTAAAAAATGAAGTAGATACCAACAAAAACCATGGTACTTATAAGTACCATTTCTCTACAGTCGGACTGCAGAGAGTTAGTCCAAAAGGTGGCATTCAATCTATTAAAGTGATAGTACATGGTTTAGTCCAGGGGTGACATTCAATCTATCAAAGGGATATACTGCATAGTTTAGTCTCAGTGTGGCTTTCAATCTATCAAAGTGATTAGTCAAAGGTGATATTCATTCTATCAAAGGGGTATACTACATAGTTTAGTCCCAATGTGGCTTCCAATATAACAAAATATGAAGGCCTCTCGCCATACCTATCAGCCCATTCTAAGGTATACTATACATTATAACAAGCACGCACAACTCAAAATGTAAGGCGGGCCGTAATACTTTATGAAAAACTTGTGCGGGCCGCAAAGTGGGTGCTGGGGGCGGGGTTCCACATGCGGCCCGAATTTTGTGCAGGCCTGCATTATAAAATAAATGTTTTTCATTATGACATAAATCGACATAAACAACATACAGTAGCCTCATTTGATTAAATTAAAACTGAAAATTAAGTAATGTATAAAGAAATCTAAATTATAAACTTTGAGTTTCAAAACAAGGGTATCACATCCTGCATTCCAACTCTGAATTCTAGGCTACACTTAGCACCAATATGACATATCAGCCGGACTGTGCTAAGAAGTTGGGGGCACTCGCTACGGGCGCCAACATCGGGGGGGGGGGAGTCCTAAAAAAATTTAAAGTTAGGTCCTTAATTGTGAATTTAGCGATAAAATGCAATGTACTTCACACATCTTAGGGGCGCCAAAATCGTCTTTTTACTGTTCTGACCCTAATATCAGTCTTCGCCCCGGGAGCCGCTTTTATATCAGTGATATCAGGGGGGCAGGGGGGGACAGATGTGCTTTGATATTATTGTATTGATGAAAATAATGGGTTTGAGAGTTGAAAAAAAAGAAAAAGGGGGTGCTTTAAAATGGATCTTGTCCCCGGGCGCGAATCTTGTCCCCAGGCGCCAAATACCCTCGCTACGCCTCTGCAGTGATAAAACACTTTGCTATCCAAGATCACCAGAAGACTTCTTAATCTTAGTTCCTAGAAATTCAAATATACATAGTATAGTTGCCCGTGAATTCTTATGCTAAAATATCTTACTTTTTGAAGAAATGCAAAAAAGACTGATAACATCTTTTTAATTTAAAATAAAATTTCCTCCTCCCCTTGTTTTGCCTCTTTAATATCGAATAATGTACGCAGTGCTAGTATCTTCATGGGTTTATATATTAGTAAATAGTTGTAAAGTTCAAATGTTCAAAAAGAGAAATAAAATTGTTAGAAAAAGAAAAGAATAGCAGGGCAGATGAAAGTGGTGAGGTCAGGGAGAGTGGGCAAAAAATGGACGGATCCAGCAGCCTTGAAATTAACCATAGCTCGTCTTTCTTCGTTCATGACTCAGTGGCATCTAACCGTGCGCACCCAAACTTGCGCATGACAGGAAAACAAAACTTCCGTTAAGGAAGATGTAAAGAAAGATGGCGGCCTCTTATGGGTCGGGCTTGCAAAGCCCCCCTCCTATAGGGAGGCCTGTTGATCGCGTATTTGAGGAAGCACAGTTCACTGGAGAGGTTTATCTAAATGGAAGAAAGCTCCGGGATTATCCTAAGTTATGCAGTAAATATGATCTGAGTGATACTATACATGTTGGTGAGTCATATTGTCGACCCCGGCTTAACTAAAGTTAAAATCTTGAATGAAAGTTGATAAATAGTAATTTAATAGTATAGTAGGCAGGCCTCCTGAACTGATGAAGCGAAACGGAAGAAAGAAAAACAAATGCTTACAGTATTACTGCCTATACTTAGACTATACTTATAAGATACTAGCTTTTATTTTTGACTTTGAGCTATGAATTAAATTTAATTACTTTTAATTAATGAAAATGACTGAAAATATGAGTTTGCCCTTTTTGTTTTGTTTTTGGTGACTCAGTCCACTAAAGCACTAAGGCCTAAGGTCCACTATGAATGAATATGTAACACCAGTACTATTTGACTAGTACTAGTTACTATGGGCTGCACCAGCTCATTTTGTGACCTATTCTAATTCTGTTGATTTCATTATGACAAGGGACTCAATGATTTGTTGTCCCCTCCCCAAAATTATAAATTATTTTGTTTCTTATTTTTGAATTGAAAGTGTGTGGGGGGGGGGGTGTTTGGTGGTCTCCTCTCCCTCATAAAATTATGCTGAAAGTGCGACAATATAGCTTTGAATACAAAACAGGTACTTTTTAAGCAATTAAAAGACATCACTTTTAACCATGAGCATGTCTTTTTCCCAGTGTTCATTTTGGGGTATTGGCAAGGATGAGTTTCTACTTTTATTTCATTTGAACCTTGTAAGATTAAGTTTAAATGAATGTAAAATTTCATTTTAATTTTTTTCATGTTAACTGTATCCATTGTCAGTTTAAGTTTATGATGAGAAAAATGCATAGGAACAGGAAAATTATTCAACAACTGGTCCTGTCACCCTAAGTCCAGTGTTGAGATTCCCCAAAGTGATGTCACTTCGCTTAGGGCTTAGGGTGAGACGACTCTTGGCAAAACCCATGATGCTAATTGCACATTTACCAACTAGTAGATTTTGTCACTTTGAAACTAGTAGGCCAACCATAATCAAGACTTTAAAAAATGCAACCCCTTCTGAGTCCTCTCACTGTATTTCTGGGGAAAGTAAAACATGCATTTCCTTGTTTTAAAAAAAAAATATAAAAACAATTTTGTAACCTCTTCAGTGTTTGAGATATAGCCAAAATGTAGGCATGGACATAAAAATTACCTAGTGGCTAGTCTTAGTACTAAATTATTATGGATAACTGAAGTAAGAGGCACAAGTTCTTTAACTCCTGCCCTCCCACCATCTCAATCTGTTTCAGTTTATCTATAGACAAATATGGCCTGCTGGGCTATTAAATAAAGTCTCTGTAGACCATGCTGAAAAATTATGTCATGTTTTTTTTTTCCGTTTTACACGAGTGCTGCTGGCTGTTTTAGAGTAGGGAGTATAATTATCATACCATACATACCATAGAGTATACATTATACAGTGAACTTCAGTTGTCACCAGGATAAATATAACTATTGTGAAATCCAGAAAGTTCAATTTATGAAAACACTGCAAGAATGATTATAAAATATTGTGATGATGTTTTCATAGACATTAATAATGAGAAATCATTGCCTTCGCAAATTTGTTGATGACAGTTGGCTTTATTACTAAGAGATATACATAGGCTATTAATGAATGATGAGAGTTTCAGGATAATCATTGCAGAATTTGTGCACCCGTTCTCAAAATCTCCTGAAGCAACCCCTCCGCTCTCCCCAGAGATCACACAGTATATGTAACAACTTTTCCTAGCTAGCTTAGACATTTTAAGAATTTATAAGTAAATTGTTAGGTATAGATTTATCACCAACTTGTGGGTGCAGGGTTAGTTAGCTAAAGCCACCATTTTTTTCTAGGGAATTGGTCTTTTTATTAAATGGCAGGAAAATGTCTAATTTCAATGAAAGACTCTTGTACTTAATTTTTTTTAGTTTTTGGACATCTTTGTTTTGAATATAACTATTGAAACATTTTTTGTTAAAAAGAAAAGCATATAATGGTTAAATGACCTGCATTGTTGCCACTAGTCTTCTTTGACTCATACATGTAGCAGTGAGGGTGTTCTGTCACTTACTAGCTCCCAGGCCTTTGGTTATCGTATTTATGACTTTGTGGAACAACTTGCAAGTCATTGTGCCAAGTTTATTAACATTTGTGAAGGACATTACAGTCACTGCTAAGAACTACAATAAGAACATTATTATTATAATGTGATTGTATCCTGCAAATTTTACTTTAAGATGTGTTCAAAACTGGAAATAAATTGTAAGCGCACTTTTAGTCCTTAATAATATAAAAGGCAGGCTAATTTTAAAAAATACATGTTTACCCTGCAGGGATATGCATTTTTTGCCATTATATTAATTTTAATTAGAATATTTTAATCAGTGAATCTCTTTCTATTTCCAGATATTTCCAGAAATCGTCTAGCAGAACTTCCTCATGAAGTTTGTGAGTACTTATTTGTAGAGAGGGTCAACTGTTATCATAATGTCATCCGCTCCATTCCCGATGCAATACAAAAATTACAGTCACTTACACATCTTAATCTAAGGTGAGTAGATTGGAATAAATTTTTATAAGCACAAATGTTTGAAGCTAGTTCAAGAGAGTTCATTAATTTTGTGAGTTCCATGTGGTGAATAATTTTTCATACCATTATACAATAGTGAAACTATTTTAGTTTTGTATTAGCAGTTACAATTGTCCTTTGTGCCCAAGAGGGTGTATCAGATGGCAATACATTTTAAAGGCACCAGGATTAAACAAAATAAATTGATAACGATAGTTGCCGTATTTCTTCAAGTAAACTTTTTTTTTTTTTACTTGATAATAGATATAGATTGTCATCTTTCTGCATTATTTATTTATATTTTAAAAAATCTGGTCCTTATTTCAGTCTTGCTGAATATGAAGCAGCACATGGTATGGGAATATTTGAATATTGCTGACTATAAAGCAGCACATGGTATGGGAATATTAGAGAAAAGACTAAACAATAACAGATAAGCCAAAAGTCTTGTTTTGTGAACATTATAAGTAAAAAAAGAAAGATAATACGAGATAGAATATAACTTAGTTTATGGTAAGTTATCGCTAAGTTCAAGAGGTACCCCAGAAATGGTAGAAAAACCTAACATCATGGTAGAGGAAAATAGGGAGATATGCAGTAGTGAGTCCAATGATTTATCTAATGTCATTACTGCTAGTGTTCATCTTTGAACAAAATTTCTCAGATACCTAAAGCTAGCGACAGCAAAATGGGCTAACAAGAAACAAGAATATTTAAGAGTTTTGACATTTGAGATTAGCTTGCATGAAGTAAAATATAACTTTATAGAAATTTATACCATAAATGTAGTCATGAAATTCGTTGAATGAGCGGCATTCACTTTTATTTTTCAACTTTTCTTCAATTAAATAATAACTGAAAGATCCTTTGAAGTGGAACATTTGTTAACCATCAACTGGAATTTTAATTGTTTAAAATTTGTCCCTTTTAGTCGTAATCAGATGACAGTTTTGCCAACTGCCTTGTGTTTCTTGAGTGCACTAGAAGTTTTATCAGTCAGCAACAACAAACTGGTGTCTCTTCCAGAAGAGATTGGAAAACTGGAAAACTTGATGGATTTGGTATGTATATTTTCATTAGGAATAGAAACTTGCTGATCCTAAATAAGTTTCAATGAAATCTTTGAACTTTTAAAGCTTATTAACTCTTTCAGTATCATAGAGCCCGATAAGAAATTATCTTCAGTACCAAGCAAAGGGAATTAACTCATTTTTAAGGATTAAGTTGCAGAATTAAAAATTGTATTAAAAATCAATCTGTCATCCAATCTGAAAAAAACAAACTATTAGTATAGAGAAAAAAAAAAATTAAACGTTAGGACCATTTACTCATAAATTTCTTCATTGTCAATGGAACGCATTTGGTCAAACCAATGAGATATATTAACATTGTCATCATCTTCTGACCCATCTGGGATATCAAAATATTGAACTACATCGTAATTAAAATCACTTGTATTGCCATTATCTACTTCAGCATCTATTTTTGTATCAAATTCATAACTTTTGACAATAACAACCAAATTAGTTTCAGTTTGAAGTGATCTCGAAGGGCAAACGCCATTAAGCTTGGATCTACTGTCGGAAAAGCTCTAAAAAAATCAAAAGTAGTGTAAAATCAAGTACACTGCCACCAAACCCCAATAAAACGAGCTTGAGACTTCCTTTTTATAAATAGACTCTTTGTAACTCATTAAAGAAGAGTTACTTTCACTAGGCATTGTTAAAAATGGTGTGTTGTTTAGGTTGGGATTAGGCCTTAACACGACTGAGGTGTAAGGGCCGGAAAGCCATAACGCGACTAAACGGATAAAAGATAAAATTCTTGAAAGAGAAAAAATAAGATTTACAAAGTTATATAAAGAATTATGCCAAGATAGCCTAAAAAAGAAAATATATCTTCTGGAGTAATTAAATAGGGTTTAAAAAAACATGCTTTTCTTTCCTTACACATTTTTTCTTGTCTCTACAGGATGTAAGCTGCAACGAAATCTCTCATTTACCTTTACAAATAGGAGATTTAACCTCCTTGCGCAGTCTCAATCTCAGGCGCAACTTTTTAGTCGAATTACCATTAGGTGAGGATTGATTTTTAGATACATTAAAATTAGAATTACCATTAAGTCATAATGTCGCTAGATTCATTAAAAGTAAAATTACCATTAGATGAGGAATATTCTAGATTTATTAAAGTAGGAATTATCATTAGGTGAGGATAATTCGAGATTAATTAAAAATAGAATATCATTAGTTAAGGATTGATTCTAGATGATTCTCAGCTCAATAAAAAGCTTCTGCTCCATGTCTCTCTGAAAGCTCTTTTACAACATTTTCAAATTGATTAACTAAACAATAAATGAGGGTAAAACATTAATGGGATTGATCTGGATAAATCCTAACATAAGAAGCACTAATTTACAGTCTTTGTCAAAGACATTTTCTACATTTGTCACCCAAATGAATTCATGTCTTTCAAAATGAGATAACAGATCATTAAAAGAAAAGGCTGTATTGTTCGTGAAAGAATGTTTATTTTTTACTGCTAGAAATCAGTCGGCTCCAGCTGTTCAGGCTGGATTTCTCAAGTAACAGAATAGAGAGTATCCCGACAGTTTTTAGGAAGATGGAAACATTGGAGCAACTTCACCTGGACAACAACCCATTATCATCACCACCAGCTTATGTAATGTCCCTTACTTGTTTCTCATCACTCTTTTTGTCACAAACTTGTTTCTTATCAATCTGTTGTCACTAAACTGTTTCACATTGAACTGTTTGTCCCCAACTTGTTTCACATCAATCTGTTTGTCACTAACTTGTTTCACATCAAACTGTTTTCCCCCAAACTGTTTCTCATCAATATGTTTGTCCCCAAACTTGTTTCTCATCACTGTTTGTCATTAACTTTTTACTCATCAATCTGTTTGTAACTAAATTGTTTCAAATCAAACTGTTTGTCCCCAACTTGTTTCTCATCAATTTTTTGCTAACATGTTTCACATCAATCTGTTTGTAAAAAATATTAGATATATTTGGTTTTAAGATACTATTTTAAGGGAATCCTTTATACCTTATGTAATTGCATACAAATTTAACAAAAATTTACCTTCTAAAACAGATATGCACAAAAGGAAGGCAGCACATTATGAAGTATCTACAAATTCAAGCTATTAAGGAAGACAGAAAGAGGGGCATCATGGCCAACAGTGATTCTGACATGAAACGTTTTGTGAGAAAATCTCTTCCGCCCCAGCAGTAAGTAACTTTTGTGTTTCACGTACGTTCATTCTCAGGCATTGTATCATTGAATCTTTGAATTATTTATTGATAAAACAAACACAACAACAAAAAAAAAATTACATTCTCAAAAAAATTAATGACTGAAATTAATTAAATACAACACAAGAAATTTTAAAGAAAGAGAAAATTTAATGTTAAATTTGTGTAAATGAACTAAGAAAATTAAAATATAAAGCAAAGCGGTAAGTAGAAATCATCTGTTATTTGACAGGCCATCACTAGTCTATTTATATATTATCTGTTAATGGACGAATCGTCACTAGTTTATTTATAATCTTCTGTTTTCATATTTTATATGTGATCACTAGTTTGTTTATATATCATCTGTATTCATGTTTGACTGGTCATTACTAGTTTATAATAAATATCAGGGTTATGAAGATGAAATTTCACACCATTCAATTTGAAAATTTTTCTTTCATTCAGACCATCAGAGGATTTCCGAAACATGCTTGGTGGTCCAGAATCTAAATGGAAGAGACACACAGTTCTTAGCAATGATTCAGGGTACAGCACGTGTGATGGAACAGAAAGGAATGGCTGGCAGAGTGCAGAGGTAAACGTCTTGTTTTCCCTATTTCTAGTTCTGTTGAACTAATCCTTCTTAATTAAAACTTGTTGCGGTTCATATTAAGATGAAAAATGTGCCTTTTTTACAAGACTGTTAATCCTCCCCCCGAGCCAATTAATTTTCAATTTCTAGTTATTGAATTAAAACTAACGAGTACATTGATACCCATTACGTGGAATCCTTTAAAATAATTGATGTAAGGAAACAGGTTTACAATTATTCACATCATCTTGTAGCAATTTGCTGATTGCTATGGGAAAAAAATGGTTTTAAACTTCTCTCTTTTGAGTAATTTGTTTTCAAGAACAGACAACAGCATGAGTTCAAATATTTTGTAACATTCTTTAGCTCAGCCTACATTTCTTAATTACATTTTATTAAGTTTTTAAATGGATCAAGATACACATTAGCTTATTCATAAATGAAACATGCTATTCAATTTATCTTACTGTAATTTAAAGCTTATTCAAATAATTCATTATTTCTTTTTGCATTGAATACGTTTTTTTTATTAAAGTGAAAGGGATCTTTCTAGAGAGACAGCCCAAGTTGTAGTCATTAATTGGTTGAAATGGTTTAGTGTAGAGCAGTGTTTTTCAACCGTGTAACCCTGAGGAAAATCTTGAAATATGAGCATGTCTCAAAAATAGAAATACAACCAAAGTGGTCAATATTTTTCTGTTTCATTTAAAACACTTAAATTCATCAAGATTTCTAATGGAATCTGAAACACCATCTCATCAAACCTAAAGGTGCTGGGTTGTTACGATTCAGAAACATTGCATTTAGGGTTGCACCATAAGTTAAATTGTCAGATGCCAGTTAACTGGCAGCCAATTATTTCAATCTGTTTGGTGTTTTGAAAATGGGGGCACTGTAGTTAATTTTGTGTGTAAAGTATTGAAATATTTTAGATGAAATAATTATAGAGCTTTTGATTGGGATGTCAGTAATTTCTGTTATAAACAAGAGAAGAAACTGGTTCGAGTCCCATCACGTTATTGAGACAGTGGTTAGCATCACATTACGTTATTGAGACAGTGGTTTTTACCACATCATGTTATTGAGACAGTGGTTAGCATCACATTACGTTATTGAGACAGTGGTTTTTACCACATCATGTTATTGAGACAGTGGTTAGCATCACATCACGTTATTGAGACAGTGGTTATTACCACATCAAATTATTGAGACAGTGGTCAGTGTCACATCTAGTTATCGAGACAGTGGTTTTTACCACATCATGTTATTGAGACAGTGGTTAGCATCACATCACGTTATTGAGACAGTGGTTTTTACCACATCATGTTATTGAGACAGTGGTTAGCATCACATCACGTTATTGAGACAGTGGTTATTACCACATCAAATTATTGAGACAGTGGTCAGTGTCACATCTAGTTATCGAGACAGTTGTTATTTCCACATGAGGTTATTGAGACAGTGGTTAGCATCACATCAAGTTATTGAGACAGTGGTTATTACCACATCATGTTATTGAGACAGTGGTTAGCATCACATCACGTTATTGAGACAGTGGTTATTACCACATCATGTTATTGAGACAGTGGTTAGCATCACATCACGTTATTGAGACAGTGGTTAGCATCACATCACGTTATTGAGACAGTGGTTATTACCACATCATGTTATTGAGACAGTGGTTAGCATCACATCACGTTATTGAGACAGTGGTTAGCATCACATCACGTTATTTAGACAGTGGTTAGCATCACATCAAGTTATTGAGACAGTGGTTAGCATCACATCAAGTTATTGAGGAACAGCACAGAAATAAGCACAACTTATAAATCATCTGCTGAGTATTTTTATGACTGAAAACTCCAGAACAAAAGAAAAAAAAAAATTTAAATAAACCAACAGTGGAAATAAGAGACATATATGGCATACCTAGAGATTTGAACATCTTTTGTTTTGGTAAAAACTCAGTGAAACCCTGTTAGAAACATCAAAGATCTTATTAAAAGGATCTACTTTTACATGTGTTGTCTAATAGCCGATTTATTGGTTTAAAAAGGCTGATATTGGTTATCTGCTGAGTTTTTGTTGCAACCCTAATTCTGTAATAGCTGTAATAAGTGTATTTATTATTAACTGTATAAGCCGAAGGAAGTGCTGGTAGATATAGATGCACATGGTGGAATTGACCTGAAGTTATTTATTCAATGCTTCCAATTGTTGGTGGATTCAATATCTTTCTTAGCAAATTGTGTGTGGTTTTTGTTGTTATAAGAGAACATTTTGGCCCACATAAACCAAAGCAATTTGAAACTGGGTTAAAAATGGTAAATCTTAAATGATCAACGATAGAGTTTTGTGTTTCTATTTTAAAATTTATTAGTGAAACTGAAAGCCACAGTTGAGAAAAAAGCAATAACACCTTCCAAGCAACTACTATTAGTGTCAAGAATTTAAATACAATTTTTTGTCAATTCACATCTTTATTAAAATGATAACAACGCAATTTAAAGTTCTGCCACTATGTGTATACCAATGCACAAAACTGTACTGAAGGCTTGGCAACCAGAGACCTTGGCTCAGGGCTTAACTTCATTTAAAGATGTAAAAATCGCAATCTCACGCTCCAAAGTTTTCTCAAATAATGTAGCGAAATAAATTAAGGTAGAAATATTTTTTTCCCTGGGAAACCACTCAAACATAGTGGGGTTAAATAGTGGGGTAAAAAATCATTGCCATGGCTGTGGGTACTTGTGAATATATTAAATAATAAAAGACCACCAAAGGATTTTAGTTTATAACTTATTAGTTTCTAGTGTCTGATTTGTTTATTTTATGTTTTTTTTTTTGTTGCATGTTGTCACTAGATGTTGTACTAATATTTGTTGTTGATTTTTTTTTTCCTCTCCATCTCCCTTTATCTGAAAAAACAAAAAAAATCTTCCTCACCTTGTGTAATGAAACCAATGAACTTTGCACTGACCTGATGATGGCATTGCCTCTTACACTATCTGATACAAAAAAATAATATATTCTATGCGTGAATCCCAAACTTTGGCATGTGGCTTGACTTGCTGTTTGCACTTGGTTTCCTAATAATCTGGCCGCTTATCCATTTATCAAAATACCAACCAATCGATAGGTTTACCCTTTGAGCAATGAGAACAATCACGTCCACAATGATATCAGAGTCAACCAGTCACAGAGCCAGATCAGTTCATACAACTACCACCAACCTCATCATCATCAGGGCAACTCTTCAGCGTCCATGAATCGTAGCGGAATCACTGGTTTGCAGCAACAGCATTTCTCACCGTCTACTATATATGAGCACGGCAGCTTTGAGTTGGTGAGGAGTGGCCGCGTGTCACCTGGGCCTGCAACAACCTCAATATACCCACAGAACATTACTCGTTCATACAATGAAAGCTCATCCCATCCACTGCATCGACCGCCTCCTTACCCTAACATCCCCACCTCATCCTCCCACAATTCAGCTACCTCTCACCCCTACCCGCCGTCCCCAAGTCTTAGTAAACACAGGGTGGGCTCCCCTAGTCCTTCTTACGTCAGACCTGGTAACAGTAATCAAAATGCCGTACACAACAGGTCATTTAGCCCCCTCCCCAGTGACGCCGGCTCCGTTGAGCTGCGACAAAGAAGCTACTCTGACTATCCGACCAGACAGCGCTCCTATTCACCTTCAGTGTCCATGGTGCAGCAAACCCTTTCACCGGCACTTTCAGGCCATTCAATCGCAGACCCTCCATCAAATAAATACTCCAGTATCAAGTCAACATCAGACTATTCCACTGGCAATCACCTGAGCTCATTTGGAGCCTCCTACACAACCAGCAAGAAGGGCTTCTCTGATTATGGTAGGAATTCGTATCTTCAACCTAATGAATCAGAGCAGGAAGGTGGGTCTAGCCCTCCTCTAACGCCACCCACACCACCTCTGATCATGACAGGTGACATGGAGGATGAATTTACCAGGGTCAGTTTAGTCATTTTCATTTAAGACTCATTTTCACCAAGGCTTTTCTTATTTTCATGATATTTCCTTAGTTTTGAATTTTTTTTTTTTTTTTTTTTTTTTTTTTTTCTTTTTTTTTTTTTTTTTTTTTCCCCGCTGCTTTTTTTTTTTTTAAAAAATTTCCATTTTTTTTTTTTTTTTATATGTTTTTTTTTCTTTTTTTTTTTTTTTTTTTTTTTTTTTTTTTTTTTTTTTTATTTTTTTTTTTTTTTTTTTTTTAATGTTCACATTTCATTTTGCTATTCTGTCACCAGCTGCATTCTTTCATTTAAAAAAATTTCCGCCAACCATCATATCCCCATGTAACTATCCTAACATTTTTTTAATCATTTCATTTAGAATAAAATATTTCTATTTGAATGGCAGACCTGCCAATTTCCTCTTAACAATTACATTCTGTAATAACTCCTTTACCAGGAGGGTCTATGGTAAATATTTTTCTTTATAGTTCATGAAACTGAAATTTAATGATTCTAACAGTCAAAAACAAAACACCAGTTATCACAGACATATTATCAGAATATAATATAAATTCAAATTATATTTTTACTGGACTTATTTCATATTAGATCTTTTGAAGGAAAAAAAAACCCAACTATTTTATTGAATTTTGCTGAATTGGATTGACTTAAAATGATTGTATTTGTTGATGATGTGTGGTGGTAGGTTAGTCCTGGGCATTGTGATCCAAGACATGCACAGCTCCCCATTCTCACATGTAAACACCAAATCTGGATTGGAAACTTTGCCTCTAGCTTGTCTTTTCTTCCTTTTGCACTAAGGCTGCATTGAGGAGCAGATTTATTTAATGCATTATTTTAAATTTTAAAGTTCCTATGCAAGTAAGTAAAGGATGCTGAGATTTCTATCTGGATAATTTTCCATTCCCATTTTTTTTTTTTTTTTTGGTATTTAAATTAAAGAAATGGCAGGTCTGCCCAGAATTAACAAAGTTTTTATGCTTAAAAAAATCAGTTAGTTATCAGTTCATAGTTAAAATAAATTTCAGGTCATTGTCTTCAAAACCACATCAATCATAAATTTTTGTTTAAAATCTAGTAATTTTAAACTATCAGGTTTTAGTGGGTTTTTTCTTTGCATTTAATCTTTCATTAAAATAATGGTAATTATGTGGCTAGTGGTAATGTTTTAAAATTTACTTTGATTTTTTTTCTTTATTTTTGAGATCGATTTTAAAAAATAGAAAATTGTAATCATTTGCAAATATAAAGAAATCCTGTGTTATCTCAACATGAAAGACGTAAAATTTCAGTTAAAGCTGCATATGTGTGTCTATTGTTGAACTAGGCAGTCAGTATATAATAAAAATGTGTATGCCCGTTACATAAATCACTTATTCTAATATTTATATTTTCCTAGCAATAGGAACAGTTGTATTGCTCTCCTGATCAGACTAAATGATTAGAAGAACAGTTGTTCCAATCAGAATAAGTCAGTATATGATGTTAAAATGAAAAAGAAGTTATGATACATGCCATCAAATTGGAACATTTGAAGCTTCACAAATAGGATTCATACAAGTATACACACGTCATTGTGTGTTAGATTAAATTAGACGAAAAACAGTTTGTGTAAATAAAACTATATATATTAAGCTTTAATAATGATTATGTGAAGTAATAATGTGCACGTTTTGGCAAATGCCTTCATTACTAAAAAAAAAAAAAAATTCATATCAATTTAAATTATCGCAGTCCAACACTCTTATAATATGTTAGGTTAGATACATTCTTGATATTAAAAACTACGTTGTACTTTGAGATGTTTTATTTTTTAAAATAAATGTTGTTATTTCAAAGTTAAATTTCATGTTAATATGTTAATCTAAAGCTATGCTGGCTGCAGTTTTAGCTCCTTGCTAATCAGTTATTCAATTAACCCTTTTATTTTTATTTGATCAGCTTATCTAGTCTATTTCCAAAGAACACTTATGCACGTAGACTTGGTCAGTCTAAGAATTATTGAAATCTTGCTTATAGCATGCTAGGAAACATTTTCTTTTTTTAAAATAAAATATTCTTTCATATTTCTGTTTCTTTCTTTAGTGTTTTGAATTTTGGGAATCGAAAAAAGTTTTGGGGAATTTTGCGACGTAGATATGTAAGAAAGTTTTGTAGTTTTTTAGCTGGGAAATGAAAAGAAAATATGTTCCAGCTAAGACTTATTTAAATCCATCCGCCTTATTAAATGAGTTTCCAAAATAATTTATCTCATGTAAACCTTTTGTGAAATGTTAATTGTAAAAGAAAAATGTGTGTTTCCGAAATACAGTGCACATAAAAAAAATAACTGTAAAAGTTACCTAAACCTGTTAAGTAATCAGAAAGTCTGTATAGTGGTTTGTTTAATTTTCATCTCACGAGTACATCTCACATTGAATTAATGAGCTGTTATAATCTGCTTTCATTTCTGTTCATTGAAGTTGATTAACACATGTGTTGCATTCATACATACAACAGGAACTAAAAAGACAAAAGTCGGAATACGAGAGGAGGAAGAAACAGGCAGAGCAAATAAGAGTGAAGCAGCTGGAAGAAGATGAAGAGCGAGAGAAAGAAGAGAGGAGAAGAGCCACACTGAAGGTTCAGGAGGAACAGAAGCTGCTCATGGAGAGGCAAGAAGAGTTGAGGAGGCAAGAAGAATTACGTAGACAAGAGGAGAGATTAAGGCAAGAGGAAGAGACGAGGAAGAGGGATGAAGAGGAAGAGGCAGCCAGAAGAGAAGAGCTGCTGAGGTTACAAGAATCAGTGAGAAACCAGTGAGTACTAATCATTTATTCACATCTGTTTTCATCATTTCACATCTGTTTTCATCATTTCACATCCCTTTTCATCATTTCACATCTGTTTCAAATCATCTGATATCTGTTTTAATCATTTCACATCTGTTTTAAATCATCTGATATCTGTTTTAATCATTTCACATCTGATCTTTCATTGAAGTCATTAACCATGATACATCAGTGTTTCTCAAATTAATGTTTAGTCCAATGGCCAGAAATAGGCCTATTACTTGACTTTACCTCTAACCTGCCATTCCTTTCATGTAAGTGTCTTGTTGAAGTTACTCTTAAGTATTAATATAATAAAATGCACCAAACATGCAGTTGGTTGACCAATTTGAGAATCACTGTGTGAAACATACCTTTGTGAAATATTACATTTCATCCTATCATTTTTATTGCCATTTCAATGAAATAGATGACTAACTAAACCTCGACTGTGCTTCTATCTAATTCAATCTTTTTCAATTAGCCTACTAAAGAAAACCAAATAATGTTTAATAAATCATATCATTGCATATTTCTAAGTTGCAAGGTTAATCCTTATTTAGTGTAAGTCTCTTCATCTATTAAAAAAACTGTTGTAAATTAATCTATAGCTTACTAATCTTATAACTTATAACTCACTTATTTGATAAGATTGAAGTGTTCAGAAATTGTGGAACAGGGAATCAGAAAATGAACAGTAAGATTAAATACTCTGAGACCAAGATCCCTTGCATTATACCATTACTTATTTTTATTGAAAATTTATTTATTTATTAACATTTCCTGAATTATTTTTAAAATATGAACTAAAAAATAAAAATTAAAAAGACTATCGCCAGAGTTAATAAAGCCTAGAAACTAGATTTGACAAAATGTTTGAAGGTACTGGATACCGCTGTGATTGATTACCTGCCCTTTATTTATTTAGGAATTATTTTTTTTTGTGTTAAATATTGAGTGTGTGTTGTTTTGGAGGATAACAAAATTATTTTTGCACTGAACCAAAACAATTTTAAAACTTTTTTTTTAAATGTTTTTTTTTTATTAATACACCAACTCCCCACCCCCTCTCCCCTTACCTTTTGTTTAGAACTTTAATACTTCATTTTAAAAATATAATTAAAAAGTCTTTAAAGAATAAGTTTATGCCCCAAAATAGTTGAACTTCCCTGGAAAATTATTGTGCTGATAATAAACTAATAAGAATAGTAATTTAAATCCCTGGAGAGATTGACATTTTTGTTGACATTTTTTCAATGCAAAATTCCCATAAAATTGACAGGATTTTAACAAAAAAATTGACTTAAATTATTACTTTTGTGATTGTTATGAGATAAATATTTTGATAAGGGAAGAAAATGGTTATGTTTGAAGTGCCACAATTAACCACAGTTTACCAAGGGCTAAATTAATCATTGACAACTTTAACACCACTTGTAAAAAACGTGAGCATCTTGTGACAACCTAAGCAGTCCCGGATTAAACTTACAGCAGCATAAAGCACATGCCCAGGGGCCCAGCGCGAATGATCCAAATTTTCTCTTTTTTTTTTTTTTTTTTTTTTGGGGGGGGGGGGGACAGTTTAATTTGTTTATTTTGAATGTAGCTTTAATGAAATAGTATAAAGCAGTCATGGACAAGTCAGCCAGCTTCATACATAAAAAGTTTTTAAATAAAAGGGAAAAAAGGTAAGGGAAACACTAGTCACAAAATGGTTATGTTTGAAGTGCCACAATTAACCACAGTTTACCAAGGGCTAAATTAATCATTGACAACTTTAACACCACTTGTAAAAAACGTGTGCATCTTGTGACAACCTAAGCAGTCCCGGATTAAACTTACAGCAGCATAAAGCACATGCCCAGGGGCCCAGCGCGAATGATCCAAATTTTCTCTTTTTTTTTTTTTTTTTTTTTTTTTTTTTTGGGTGGAGAGGGGACAGTTTAATTTGTTTATCTTGAATGTAGCTGTAATGACATAGTATAAAGCAGTCATGGACAAGTCAGACAGCTTCATACATAATAAGTTATTAAATAAAAGGGAGAAAAGGTAAGGGAAACACTAGTCACCACAAACTTTTCCCAAGATACGGTAGGAGTGGGGATGCGGAGGGGGTGGTCCGCTCCTTGCAGCACCATTTTCTTTGTATGGAGGGGTGACATTTTCTAGCAAGTGCAGAGTTTTCTCTGTGGAAGGGGCAGGGAGAAAAAATCTTGGCCCGCCCCAGGCTGCACTAAACCTAGCTACGCCACGGTTACCGGAAATTTGATTGAAAGAAATTTCGTTGACGGCAAATGGATAGATGGAAATTTTATCGAACAGAAATTTAGTCTAAACTTTTTTGCAGTTCACACGTTAAATTTTAGTCAAATTTCTTTTTGAACGCACTATACTATATAGTGAAACAAAATAATGCGTTCTCATATATAATTTAGATGATAAAATATTGACTTAGGTTTCAAGTTTGAGTTGAACAACAACCACGTTGTGTTGGCTAAGAACGGGTGATAACTGCAGTCATTGAAAACAAAAAAATGGCACTCTTCTTCAACAGAAATTCAGAAGAGAACAAGCTGAAGCAGATAGGGGAAATCCAGAAACCCCCAGAATCCAAACTTGCGGACAGAAACAAAATAACAAACAAGTATGAACAAATCTTGTTCCACTATTTATTTAAGAATCTTCTTGCATGCTCAGCTCTAATTTTTTTTTAAAGAACAGATAATAACTTTGATTTCAAGGAACAGATATTGACTTTGTTTAAAAAAAAAAGATTTTGACTTTAGTATGGAGATATTTATGACTCAATTTTTAAACCTGAGTAAATGATCTAAAACTATGTACTAGTCTTTGTAGGGAAATAATATCATCAATATACAAATGTTGGTAGGCAGTTAATATCATCAGTTTGTAAGTTTCCTTGTTAAGTTTTATAAGGTTTTGGTTGTTAACTATAAGCAGCAAATAAATGTTCATGATTTTTCACTTATATTTTTAAACATGAGCTGTGCATGAATTGCATGAGAGCTTTAGTTATCATCATATCATACAGAATAGTTACCTTCTCATGTTACCTGAGTTGCGATAAGAATTGATGAGATGAAGGTTGAGCTATTTTTTTGGCACCCACTCCTTCCCATGCATACACCTTGTGCAGCTTGCCCGCCTTCCTTCAGAAGAAGCATCCTTTAGGTTCTTGCCTTCCTGATAATTCTCATGTTATAATTTAATAGCTAACAATTTTTCTTTTTAAAACTTTGTAATACCTTGGTAATATTTTCTGAAATAATTCTTCTGACTATCAGTAAACCAGCATTTGGCATGACATCTCTCTGTTTAAAAATGGATTTGTGAATTCATGATGATTTTAAAAACTATAAACTACATCCCAACCCCACCTTTCCTCTTCCACACTTAACACTGAAATTAATTTATTGTAATATTTATTGACTTTTTGTACATTTTGTTTTCCAAATGAAGAAGTGTATTAAAGTTTGGGTATGTTTGTTAGTTCTTAGCATGCTTTATTCCCCAACACTCCATCTTTCGTTTGATGCCCTCACCCCCTCCCACCAAACTGTGAGCTAATGTTAACATTGCTTCAAACCTGCTGCGCTTTATTTCTAAATATGTCTGTCCCATTGCTATGTGACAAAACACGTCTTTTGGATCGCTGTGGGTCAAAATTAGATCTTATTTTAAACGGCCACATTACTTTCTGCTGAACAAGCACATTTTTAAAATTGTATACATATTTTATTTGCAGCTCTAATTCTCAAAAATTTCTAAAAATAAATAAATAGCAAGATAGACCTATGTTTTTAATTGCTATCTAATCGAGTTGGGGGGGGGGGGGTTCCCCCCACATTATTATTATTTTTTTTTTTAAAAAGACATTTCATTTCAAAATGTAACAGCAATTGACTTATTGGTGTCGGTTCAAGCATGCTCCCCTTTCTATTGGTGGTGGACCCAAGTTTTATTATGCAGATTTACATATTTTGATCGCATAAATAGATGACCTCTCAATCTTAATAGAAATCATACACTTTTTTTCTTCCAAAATTCTAATAAAAGAAGTACAACAGATAATAATATTAATAAATTGTAAAAACATTTTTTTAAACTCAAAAATGTGTGGCAATAATGTATTCTTTTGGCAGTATTTCAATAAGACAGCACTTGAATCAACATTGTTATTATGGTGCTGACCGATTACTTGATATCATTTGTAACACATGTGCAGACAAATCACACCGAACTAGTCATAAATCTGACATGTCCCACTTGAACTAGTCACATGGAAGGGTCCAATCTTGTAAATGAAACCTTTCTGGGTGATCTGACCTTGAACCTGCCATATTCTCCAACCACCTTGGCAACACCCACTTCAATTTTCTTATTACCATAGTAACACTATCTAAACCAGCGATTCTCAACCTTTTCAGTGCCAAGTTCTGGAAAACCACAACCTGGATGATAAGTGAAATAAAGGAAGTGGACGTTGACTGTAATTAATTTGCCAATATTTAAATTTAACAACCTATAGTTTTTATATACTTATGATAAGCCTTTATTTTAGCTATTAAACCATCATCATTTGGCAATGAAACGGATTGAACTATTATTATTCAAATTTTTTCTGGTAATTGTTTTTAAAATTTGGAAAGGAATGAAATAAGGTACAAAAAAATGATCATTTTTACTACTTTAAAAAAATTCACATTTCTGAAGTTCACAAGCGATCCATGGCACATTGTGAGGGAATCACAACTCGCAGGTTGAGAACTGCTGATCTAAACTAATCCATTTCTTTACTAAACTGCTGTGCCCCTGCTTGTCATCTTTTTCTTATGAAGTCATCCAATGTATAAACCTTTTGAATACAATTGTAAACATACATTAAATGGCAGAAACTTTCATTATCTAAAACCATGAAATATACTTTTTAAAAATGATTTTTAGTATGTTAATAAATTTTGAAAATTAGATATTCATTGTTCGATATTAAGATATTGAAAAGTTTCAAGTTCTATTTTGCACATACTCAAGACTCAATTAGTTAACATAAACAGCTATTGGTGATTTTTAAAACATGGGAATTTTTTTCTTTTTTTTCCTTAATTCGCTCTGCTTCAAATCTCAGCTATCCATCTCACATATCACATGTAAACTTGAATAACATAATTTTTTTTCTCCTTTATTAACATTCCACTACTAAGTAATTAAGGTTTAACCCATTCAGCTTTTGACCTACTGGTAGAGCCATCGCGTGGGCCGTGCAACCCCATGTGGCTGCCGGGGGCCTCTGATGTATGGAAAAAAATTTTTTACGCCCTCAACTATTTAGGGTGCAAAAAACCGAAAAGTGACAAAAGTCACGCGACGGCTCTGATTACCGGTGCATGAGTTGATTTAGAGATCTTCTCCATGCTGGCTTTTTAACTCCTTGTATCTATCTGGGTCACTGAAGTTGACTCTTTAATTGACCTAGTGCAATGTTAGCTTCCTATGAAATTTCTTTATGCCATTATATGTAAATAAACTCTTAGCTTTTGACATTGTTTTGTGATGGTATTAACTCATAGGCATGGTGGCCAGTTTCATTTGAATCATTTAATGTTTACAATAAATAACAAAAAACATCAAAATTGTTTTAAAAAAAAAAAAAAAAAAAAAAATTTAATTAAATACATATTTTGTGATTGTATTAACTCATAGGCATGGTGGCCAGTTTCATTTGAATCATTTAATGTTTAAAAAAAAAAACAAAAAACATCAAAATTGTTTTAAAAAAAAAAAAAAAAAAGAATTTAATTAAATACATCTGTTTTAATTTTTATTACATATTTATAGACTCAAGTTAAATTATTTTTTTGTACAAATTATCTTTGTATATATATATATTTCTTTGTTTAAGTTGAGTTAAAAAACTTTTGTAATTTTATGAATGTTATTGTTCAATTCTTGACCGTCATGTTAAAGAGATGAAGACCAATTAAGGATCAATGTAGAAACAGGCCATCAGTGATCATCTTAAGCTTAAGTGTGGCTGATTTATTTTAATTTTTGTTTTGTTTTGTTGATTCCCCCTGAACATCTCTAGCTACTACAACTACACTAACTCCCAGACCAACTCCCGGCCTCACAATGCCCCACCACCCCCACCATCATCTTCATCCTTCCATCCGCCGCAACCACCTAAATCTCTTCCCCTGCATGGCTTCAATGGGCCCCTAAGCCCAACGCCGTCATCGACATCGTCATCCACTTCATATCCACTGTCACCGCAGCAGCAACAAGGGAATGACAGTAACTACATCCTTACTGAACATGAGTATAGGTAGGACGAAAACACAGTGTGTTAGCCTTTTCCCTCGTATAACATTTATATTAGCATTGAAATCTTTAATCTTGGAGTTGGTACTTTTTTTAACTTTCAGAAATGTTTTTTGATTCCAATAGGCCTGGTTTAATGAAAAGTTTTACTCAATTAAGAAACAACACAAGGTCAATCCTCATTTTTCATTCTTAATAATTTTTAAATATATTATTTCTTTTTGAAAGGTCTTACTTTAAATGAAATAGAGAGCCACTCTCTTGATGTAGAGTTGATATAATTATTATACGAGGGATTGTTTAAAAAATATTCAAAGTTTTTTTTTTAATACAAATTTTCCAATCTGTTATTTAGAACTTCATGACCATTATTTCCAATAACTTAACTTTATATTCAGTGTTCTTAACAGCCTGACAGTTTGGGAGGCAAAATAGAACATCAATGTACTACTTAATGATAAAATATTGCTTATTGCATACTCATTGTAAGCTAACTCATGAAATCTAAGTGTCGATAATAAAGCTCGAGAGGTTGTCATCTAGCTTTTTAGAAAGAAAAGAATGAGAAAAGGAGGAAAGTTGACTTCAAATTCAAAAGGTAATTAGGAAGTAGACGAAACCAAAATCTAAAATTATGGGATAGGAGAAAGGTGCATTGGATGCGAGTACAGAAAAGGCCGAAAAGTTTCAAAGTGAAACATTGCAGTCCTCTGCAATAAACAATTGGAGATAACCGACTTTCTTAGCTGCAGGTCTTACCCCGAGACATCCCTTTATCAGAACCTTATATGAGTCACAAATATCCCATAAGTTCATGACCTATCAAATTTTTACTTATCATCCCCAAAAGACTATCTGCTATCTATCTATCCCCAAAATTGTCTTCTTCTTAACCCTGAAATACATAAGACTTTGAGTTAACCCTGAAACACATTTTAATGTACACATAAAGTCACTTCTGACATTTCCTTCAAGTCTTCACTATCTTCATTTACTTCCACAAGTTTATTTCTGTAACCTGCTTTCATTTACTCAACTAAAACTTACCTGCCATTAGTCCATTTACATACAATCAAACCATTCTTCATATTTCTCTATTCTCCCATTGTTTGATATTTAAAAATTTCCTGATTACCTCTTGAATTGACTCCGGCTTAATACAGGCGGCTTCATATTTCAATTCATTGAGTTAATTACTATGGCCATACATTTTAATTGCAAAATCCAGTGTTAGATTTAGGAGAAATGTTCAACATTTTGAGACATTCATAACATTTTCTCTTGGAAGTTGTTTGATTTCATCTTTAATCTTGATTAGTTGTGCCAATTTGTTTGAACTCTTCATTCTTTCCTTCATCTGGCTGCTTGCTTTCATCTGAATGTTTCCCCTTGCAGCCGGTGGCAGGATATTTATTTTTATGGTTTGCCGTTTGCTATAAGCTTTAATTGGGTGCTTTTTGGATGAAGGTTCAGCTCAAGAGTTTGTCATCCAATCAATCTTAAGGGTTGGTGTTATAAGGCTTAGGTACCTCTTTTTGGTGTTTTATCTTAAGAGCCAGACACTTAAAAAAAAAAAAAAAAAGATAACTTTCACAAATAGCATCACACTTACAGTACTTCTTTAATACAATTCTTTTTTTTAAAAATGTAAACCTTGTGAGTTGAACAAAAATTGTGCTTTTCTTTTTTTTGTGTGCATGGTTTCTCATATTATATTTGTTAAAAATTATAAGCTCTTAATAGATTTTAATGTTGAAGAGTAATAGCATTAACCCTTACTGTGCACTGTTTGTTCAGAGGCTGCTCAGATCATACCATAATGATGATAATGCTTAACAAATCTCAATCTGCATAAAACATGAATCTTAATGTGAAGAGCAAATTTTCACTACATAAATTACTTAGCTTTTTTTCTCCTTGAGCCACCTTCTCAAACTGTTATGCTCCTTTCAAAAGGTTTGCTGGATGAAACATTTAGTTAATGCATGTTAAAGGTTTCGTTGACTTGACAAATAATAATCAAATGCACATGTCAAATTTACTTCCACGAACTTGACACGTCCAACAGAAATGCTCTCAGCTCCCAAAGCTTCAAAGAGCAGCGGAGGCTCGCCAACAGCACCCAGTATCGACGGGCGGCGTCCGATACACTGAAGAAGCCCGGCCAGCCGTCGCCCAACTCGCAACACGTGGACACCCTTAACTATATCAACAGAAAGTGAGCATGTGACACACTTGTTGTAATGGTGGCGGATTGGCCATGGGAGGGAAGACATGATTATTGTGTGTCTTTTTTTTTTCTTTTTCTTTTTTTTAGAATTCTCCCCCTTTTTTTGTAATGTTTCTTCCTTACCTCCCTGTTTTCCTATGACATTCAAAAACCTGCATACCGTACATTTTTCTCATTTTATCACTGCTCATGGGTTCAAGTTAATGCTATCCACATTCTCACAAAAATTGTTGATCAAATGTCATTTCTTCTACAAAGTGCTTGCAGAGGGCAGGTCTCTTACACAAGAATCCAATCAACCATCACGCAGTAAAAAAGTCGATCGTTTGGGATGATGAATGGCTACGCCGTCAGTCTTAGACCAAAACTGCAAAATGTGTTCAGTTCATGCAAATATTCTCACAAACCTTCCAGGATGAAATAATTAAAGGAACAATTAAAACACTCTGGATATATAATAATGTGAAATCTTTCACTTTCATACACAATCCAAAGTTGGCCAAGTCTTACCAGAACCTTCTGTAAAGTGGTTGTTTTTTTATTTTAAAGTCTTACTTTAACTGATGTGGACAGGAGAAATAGAATGTATCAATATTTACCTCATGTAGTTGCACATACCACCGCCAAACACCAACATCATTGAATGTCTTACACTTGTTTTGTGCTGTTTATGGTGCTTCAATTTAGCCAGCTTTGTTGCTTTATTGCTGTTGGTGGCACACACAGATGGCATTTCTTACAAGTTCGGGGTCAGATATTTTCTACTGATCTACTTGTAAAAATATTCTTTGACAGTTATGTTAAAGGATCTTCAAGTCAAAACGGGAAAAAAAAAATGTTTTCATTTAAAAATAACTTTAAAAAATCACTATTATAAAACCATTCCTTTAATTAAGTTTAATCCTTTGAGATAAAGTCTAAAGAAAAGTCATTTTATTTTGTTTGATGCAGTAAAAAAATTCTGTAATGTAAAGGCTGGAGCTAAAAACAATTATTTACTGAAAATATTCACTGCCCAAATATCACGCTTTATATTCTGTGCACCTCATTTCTTCTGGCCATTATAAAAACCTGCCGGCAATATCTGTGTTGTGAATCCACCCGACTGTACAATTCTAATACCATACCAACCCCCTTTCCTCCACTCTCCAGTGGTGTTTCTGAGACTCATGTTTCTGAGAACTCCAGATTGTCTAGCACCTCCACAACTCCGTCAGTCTCACCCAGTCCCAGTCCCAGAAACTCTGTATCACAGCTTGCCAAACCGGGTAGCCCCAGCGGCTCGACGTCCCACCTGGCTAAACCCAGCAGCCCTATGGGCTCAATGTCTCAACTGGCTAAGCCCACCGGGAACAAATCGGCTGTGCCCCGTGCTAATGGTCCCGCCAGCGCTGGCCAAAACCAGGCAGTCAGAAGGACAAAAATAGCAGGGGAAAGGTAGTTATCATGTTGTCAAATCAAGAACATGCACAATACATTGATTAGTAAATTGAATTTGGGTATTATTTTACCTTGAAGAAAGAGTTGATCAGTTTTCAACATTTGATCAGTTTTCAACATTTATTATGAAATAAATAACTTTTAAAAGCCTCTGTGCATTCACTATTAATAATAATAAAATCATTCTTTTTTAAAAATAATATTTTTTTTGCCACCAAAACTTTTGTTTTTAGCACTCTGATATAAAAATAATAATAGCATTTAAAGTTGTACCGGGTATTTTATAACTATAAATTATAACTTATAAATAATATATAAATAAAATAAAATATATAAATTATAAATTATAACTAATTTTTTTATGCTGGCAAAGTAAGTTAGTTTAGACAGTTAGTTTAGACAGATAGCTTATGCAACATTATCTTTTAGTTGCTTGGGTAGTTGATCTTACTATAAAATCATTTATTTCCTCATAATTGTTTGTAAAGATTCACTCACATATTACCTACTAAGTGTTTCCTACTTACCTCAGGGCTGTACATAAATATAGTTAATCATTAAAAACATGTTGGCCAATAGCACTGACCTATTATGGTGTTGTTTACCAGTTCTTATATAATTTAATATTTATATACAGTGTCATTTATTTTTTTGTAAATGAAATTTATTTTTATCTGTCAGTTATCAATACTATTTTATTCTGAGCCCTTTATCAGTTCTCCTTTTCTTTTTTTTCTTTCTTCAAATAATTTAACTCAACTAAATGTCAATATAAAATAATTTAAGTCTATCTGGGATCAAGCATATTAACCATAAAAATGGAATATTATTTCTATGCCCAATTAAAATATAATATGGTGAGAATCTTTATTTAACATTGTTGTTGAATTTTGTTTAAAAAATGTATCATCCTTAAAAAAAAAACAGTTAATAGTTGGGGACTTTGTTAAGGCTGTTTGATAGGGACTTTGTTAAGGCTGTTTGATAGGGAACTTGTTAAGGCTGTTTGATAGGGAACTTGTTAAGGCTGTTTGATATTTTTTAAACTTAATAATATATTTATCAGTTATTTATAGCCTGGTTTGTTTGAAATTAAAAGTTGCTTATTTAAGACTATGTATATAGAGATTAACATGGGTATATAAAAAAAATGACAAGGTGTGGACTTACTAACTCGTTTGCAACAAAATCACCCACCCATCCTTACCCCCCCATCCTCTCCCACCTTCTCACCCATTCATTCCCCCTATCCTCTCCCACAACCCACCCCTCCATATCGCCCATACTCTCCCATCACCCACCCATCTCTATACTCTCCCATCACCCACCCATCCCCCTATCCACTCCCATCTCATTTACAACTAAATCAACGTTATGGTTACCTGGACAAGGTGGTCACCAACAAAAATTTTTTTAAAAACCTTGCTTTATAATTGACTTCAATGACAAGTGAACCATTAATGCTGTAGGAATTCTAAAAGTAGCTCAATTAAATACATGTCAGGCCCTTTCCACCGATGGATAAGTTCACAGTAGTGCATCTATAGCATTATAATCTATCATTGTAGGCATTAACAGTAGAAGCATCTGTGAATTGGAAGCAACAGCCATTTCATACAGGCATACACAAATATGAGCTTTGGAGGAGGGCTCCAATTGTATATCTTATATAACTGGATGGGACATGAAACTTATCCAAATATCATCAATAATTTACAATAAATTATCATATTAACCTGACTTCATTTTATTGGGGTCGACAGTGAAGAGAAATAGAAATGATAAAAAATGAGAAATTATAATTGTAAGTTGAAGAATAAAAGAAAAACACATGAAGGTTTTATTTTTGCTTACGTAGCATAAGAGAATAAGTGCTTCCCTATCTGAAGCATCAAGCTTATGAAATACCATACTTGTATGATGAGACAATGTCTGCCTGTTTATTAAGTTCTCAAGTGTATTTTGACATTGCAAAGATTATTTTATCACCGATTGGAAACAAAAAGTGTGTAAGGCTGCAGACATTCTATGATAAGCTGTCACTGTGTATGAATAGGTTTGATGTTAAAATGGTTTGCAAATGTTCCAACATTGACCTCCGATTCCTGCACAGCTCCAGCACGTCCAGTCCAGCCACGGCCAGATCGGCAAGAACCACCTGCCCGACGAATCTAAGAGCTCAAGGCTCGGCCCTGAACCCGTCCACATCAAACTTGAGGCGCAGCAGTAACAGTAGTACGACGGTAAGAAATTGTTCCACGGATGTTTCTCAATGTTTTTTTTTGCCTTTTCATAGCAGTTCCTTCTCGCCTCTCATTAATGACCGTACCTCATTTGAAAAAAGCAAGACGTGCTGATAGTGTTTCTTACAGCACGGCCATAGCTTGAAATTTTTCTGTCGTAATTCTCATTTTACATCTAGTGTATTGTAACATTAAACATTTTTTTTTAAAATTTAAAAAAAACAATGCTCTGTGGCCTTGGAATTTTAAATATAAAGTTAACATTGTACTGTATCCAACCAATAAAGATTACGGGTTGACTTTTTCAGGACGATGATTCTAAACCAAAGAAAGGACCATCAACCCCAACAGAACCTACCAGACTGAAATCTCGACTAGAGGAGCCCAAGCAGAGAGCGGCAGTTCAAACATCGGGAATAAAGGTAAATATTGAACTGTACACTGTACAGTTCATACGCAGATAATGCATGTGTATCTATGCCCATATTTGTATACAAAACAACTTTACATAGATATGTATGCTGTAAACATTAAAATCAGTTCACATATTTCCCTTCATTTGTCCAGAAAACTGCCCCACCAGAAAGTGCAGACACAAACAGACGGATCCAAACTCGCCCTCCAACCAATAACTTTGGTTCAGGTCGAGGGAGAATAGGTACGACCGCAATTTGAGTCAAAGTCAATAGGTGTTATTTCATAGTCACTAGGTGTTATTTCATAGTCAGTAGGCGTTGTTTCATAAAGCCAATAGATGTTATTTCATAAAGTCAGTAGGTTTTATTTCATAAAGTCAATAGGTGTTATTTCATAAAGTCATTAGGTGTTAATTGTAAAGTGAATTTAAACTCAAAAGAGATGAATAGAGAGATCCTAGAAAGTGTTGTAGTACATTGAGTTTATATTGAACTGACAATCTATCTAAACAGGTTTATTTGGTGGGACATTGATTTTATATTGAATTGACAATCTATCTAAACAGGTTTATTTTATTTTAAGGTGTAAAAATGATTGAAGACCCATCAGCTATGAGACGGAGAGAGGAACAGCACAGAGAGGAGGCTGAGCAGATGGATCGATTACGACAGGTGAGTTATCAGCTGATGGATCGATTATGATAGGTGAGTTATAAGCTGATGGATCGATTTCGACAGGTGAGTAATGAGCTCATGGATCGATTACGACAGGTGAGTAATGAGCTGATGGATCGATTACGACAGGAGTTATAAGAAGGTGGATTAATCACAACCGGTGAGTTATGAGAAGATGGATTGGTTACGACAGTTGAGTTATAAGAAGATGGATTGGTTACGACAGTTGAGTTATAAGAAGATGGATTGGTTACGACAGTTGAGTTATAAGAAGATGGATTGGTTACGACAGTTGAGTTATAAGAAGATGGATTGGTTACGACAGTTGAGTTATAAGAAGATGGATTGGTTACGACAGTTGAGTTATGAGAAGATGGATTGGTTGCGACAGTTGAGTTATCACCCTTCATACCCCCTCAAATATCACACACCCTTCCATATCTCTATCCTCTCTCCCATCACCCACCCATCCTTACCCCCATCTTCTCCCATCACCCACCCATCCCTATTTCTACTCTCTCCCATGGCCAACCCATCCCTGCCCCCTATTCATTACCGCCTCACCCTTGCCAACACCACCTTAACAAACCCAATCTAACAATTGATCGTGAAAACCAGCAACGCTGAGAGAGACATGATGATGACTGTTATTTAGCATATTCATCCATTTTATCTTGAAATTCAGCTGTCATCTTAAAATAGATCTTAAAATTTAATGGACTATATTTTTCTTAGTGATATTTTAAGTCATCTTAAGTCATTAGCATGTCTGCTAATCCGTAATCATTCTGTGACATGCAAAGGCTCTCATTGATGTACACATAGATGTATTGAAAAACAAAGTGGTCATGTAGTCTTAGTCACTTTTTACAAAAAAATTTGACTAACCTTTTGCTTCACAGACCATTGAGTCCAGACTGCGAGTCACTCTGCCGGATAATCTTGCAGAGGCACTGAGGGATGGTGTGGTGCTATGTCATCTTGCCAATCAAATTCGACCCAGATCTGTGGGAAGCATTCATGTGCCCTCACCTGCTGTTGTACGTATTTTTAGATTTTTTAATGAAATTTTAAAAAAAACTTGTAACATTTAAGTAGAGATTTCAAAGCCACTATTCATATTTCATTTCTTCTTTTTTGTTTTTTTATACCCAGTTAATCATTCCTTACGGCAGAGCTACTGCCGCACTTAATTTATATGCCTGAGGAAGGGAAGTAACTCCATTTTGCAATTGATTAACATTTGTATAATATTTTTTAAGCTGCTAAATAGTAATTAATGTTAATGTATAAAGGACAAATGCATCAAAAAATGAATAATGTTTCATAAAAATATAACTTTACTACCGAAAAACGAATAAACATAGACAAAAAAAAATCGATTTTTGGCACCTCGGGTGAACACATGCTAGATATAGACGCGCTTTACAAAAGGGCATGTAGTTTTAAAGTGAAACAATACAAATTTCTGGTTTTTAACTCATGTCCTCCTGAAATGCTACTTCCGTCTTTAATTTATTTGCCTGAGAGAGGGAAGCAACTCCGTTTTGCCATTGATTTACATTTGTGAAATATTTATTTAAGCTACTAATACTAAATATTATTTAATGTTAATGAATTAAGAACAAATGCAACAAAAAATGATTAAGGTTTAATATAAATATAACATTAGCGGGGAAAAAATAATGAACAATGACAAAAAAAATTTGATTTTCGGCACCTGGGACAAACACATGCTACATATAGACGCGCCGTATTAAAGCACACGTAGTTTTAAAGTGAAACAAGATAAAAACTTCCCGTTTTTACATTAAAATCACGTAGAATCAGGCCATTGCCGGAAGTCTCGAGGGACGGGATATTTCATTGCTATTTTAAACTATAAATGAGAGAGGTTTGTCGCTATGCACAGGGATGCATTTGGACGCTTGCGTCGAAACCCCCAAAGGATGCAACCGCCGGAAATGAGTTAGGAGCGTAATTGTTTTTGTCTGTTCATATATTTGTATGTGTTACGCACTGACTTGTATTGGGGGAAATTAATCTCCTATTTTAATTTTAATTGGCTCGTTGTTAACAGTGCCTAACAAAGGACGATACCATAGAATCAACAATATTAAAGATACGACCCAAAACAGTTTCTAGTTACAATTAATAAGATTTATTATGTTTTAAGATAATTACAAAAGAAAAGAAAAATATAATTACAATCTTCAACTTACAGTATGGTAGATCTCGTACCGGTACACAGTTAATACAATTAGAAATAATGTGTCAATGAATAATGCGAAATAAACACATATGAGCACACAAATACACAAAGAATAAAACACGCCTCGTAATGTTAAGAAAATCTATCTAAATCTCCGTCCCTCGTCCGTGCCTGTCAATCCCTTATATAGGTGGGTCTACCGACGCCCAAGCCCTGCCTTCGAGCAGCTACATGACATTTCTAGAAAAATCAAAATCATTCTACAAAATACTATTTGGAACAGATTTAATTATTTTTATTCGTTGGCGGCGTAAACAAGAATACATCAAAGACCTAAGCCACACCCCTTTGTGAACACAACGTCTCATGCGGGGACAATCAGAGGGCATGCACGAGAAATATTATGTAAACAAGCTCTCTATAACAGTATGTCTTTAAAGGGGTTAAAATCTGTCAATAAATCTCTTTTCAGCCGAAACTGACACCAGCCAAATGTCGAAGAAATGTAGACAACTTTTTGGATGCCTGTCGAAAAATAGGAGTAGATCAGGTTAGCTAATGAAACACTATTTTTTTTTTATTTTTTTTTTTAAACGTGTTTATTTTAATGTTTTCAGTTTTTATTTGATGTTTGTCTAGCATCCCTACAGCTTAGAAACATATACATTTTTTAAAAAGAATTTTCTTAAACAACAACCTTGGTTGTATTACTAACCAAAAAAAATCATATTTTTCTCTTCTTTACAAAATGTTTGAAATGTGGATAAATAAATACAGCGATAATTCAATTAAATGTAACGTTGATTTACAAAGGGGTAACATTTTGAGAAATGATATTTAACTTCATTCTGAACAAGAACCATTGAGTCAAGACAATGATGTATAAACTTACACAACAAATTCTACCATCGAGTCAAGACAATGATGTATAAACTTACACAACAAATTCTTCCATCTGCATGTTCAAAAAAAAAAATTTGGATACATTCTACATATTGAAAATGTGGATACGTTCTACTGTATGTTAAAATGTAACCTACAATCTAGGGCAGCAGTTCTCAACCTGTGGGTCACAACCCCTTTACACAGGGGTCACCTAAGACCATCGGAAAGCACATATTTATGAAGTAGCAACCAAAAAAAATTTTATGTTTGGGGGTCACCACAACATGAGGAACTGTAATAATGGGTCGCGGCATTAAGAAAGGTTGAGAACCACTGATCTAGGGTATCTTTGTATCTTATGGCCTTGCTTTCCTTGACTTCTGTTGTCAATGAATCTCTGGATCTGTCCTCCGTTAAGTTTCTTAGTGAGGCATTTTTAAGATCTATTTATTTTTTAAAATTGTATTTAAGCTGCAAGCAGGTGTGTTAGTTGTATTTGATAACTTATTTTTTTACATTAGTCTTTCTAAATTGTCATGGTAAAAATGTAAGAAATGGTGGGGTATGACAAATGGGATATGTGGGGGTTTGACATGGGAAATGGAGGGGTGGGGCATATTGAAAATGAAGGGTTATGACGTATAGGAAATGGAGGGGTGAGACATAGGAAATGGAGGGTTTTGGCATAAGGGAAACAAAGGGGTATGACATAGCGGAAAACACTTTTGCACCTGAAGAGGGAAGGATTTAGATGGTAGATACGCATGTTATGATTTATTTTGACTGTCCCGCTATGCATTAAAGGAAAAACCTTGTCATTGAATAAAAAATGGTGTTTGTTTTTACAGTAAATTATGGGATGGATTAGCAAGACTTTATTTGAGCCATTACGTAGTGTGTGTGTTACAGTATTGTGTGTGTTTTTGTTGGGGTAGTGTACATTGTATTGCGTGTGTATTTAGGTCACAGTAGTGTACATTGTATTGTGTGTGACTTTGTTAGAGTAGTGTATGTCATATTTGTGTGACTTTGTTAACGTCTTACATTTTTTTTAACATATGGGGAAAAAACATTTTTGAGTAAGTTTTTCTCAAAATTCTGATGTGGACATATGTTTGGTATGTTTTGTTTTATTATTCTTTCTTCTCGGAATTGTTGAATATTTTAATTTGACTGAATAACTGAACAACTTTAAAATGATCTTAATTAATAGTTATAGCAATAATGTTGCAAACAAAAATGATGCATTGTTTTAAAAATTCTGTTTAAAAAAACAACAATTATTTCATCAAATTTTGATAGCATAAAATAAATTATGATTCATCTTTTGATAATGAAAACTTTTCTGTATGTAAACTGTTGATCAATTTTTTCAACCTTTGGCTGCTTGCTGTCCTTATTTCATGAATGTGCTTTTGATGATAATCAACACTTTATGTAAATGTCATTGTTTGAATAGTTTCTCACCAGTGAGATAAGATTCTTTTATACATCCAAGTAAATGGAAATTTGTTTTGCTTTTTTTTTTTGCACATGTTCATTTTTAGCTCATGGATAAAACATTCTGATTAAGATAGCAATTTTAAAACTAGAACAATTCAAACGTAAGACAGTTCCAGTTTTTCTCAATGTGCTGAAAGCAGCCATGATATATTTTAAATCTTCCTTCCAAAATGACAAAAATTGTTTCGATTTTATAACGGCGGGGAGACAACCACAGTTTAAGTGGACTAAGTTGGGCCCATTTAAAATTTATTAATTAAAACACTATTATACTGTGTGCACCGGGCCTTTTCGAATAGTCTTACAAATCTGGGACAGATTTTTACAGTGGGTCCACACTTGCACAATCACACGCGTTAACGATATCATGAAAATCGTAGGATTTCTGCTAACGTTTGTTTTTTGCTGTGACAATGAGAATATCCTTAACCACAGAGGCTGAGGTAGTCCAAGTTTAAACACACTAGTTGAAAAATGAAGGAATTACCAGGGAACTGTTGTAGTCATATGCAGACATAACATGTTTGTTTCTTTTTTTTTTAAACTTTTTTATTACTACTGATAAAATTTTGAGGAGAAAAAATTTGTGGGAAGAAGAACATAAGAAAGCAAATATCTTTCCAAGCCAAAATTTGATTATGGGTACCATTGACTTAACATGCATATTCTGTCACCTAATGGGTGGTGTAATTCAAGGCTACAGGTGGACATGAGTAATGTCTACCTTACTCTGGATGTATTTTTCGTGTGTCTCCCAGAACGAGTGTACATTGTACAACACCAATACTTTGAACATGTGTCACCCAGAATGAGGGGCAGTGATATGTGGTACAACACCAATACTTTGAACATGTGTCTCCCAGAATGATTGGCAGTGATACGCGGTACAACAACAATACTTTGAACATGTGTCTGCCAGAATGATTGGCAGTGATACGCGGTATAACACCAATACTTTGAACATGTGTCTCCCAGAATGATTGGCAGTGATACGCGGTACAACACCAATACTTTGAACATGTGTCTCCCAGAATGAGTGGCAGTGATACGTAGTACAACACCAATACTTTGAACATGTGTCTCCCAGAATGAGTGGCAGTGATATGTGGTACAACACCAATACTTTGAACATGTGTCTCCCAGAATGAGTGGCATTGATATGTGGTACAACACCAATACTTTGAACATGTGTCTCCCAGAATGATTGGCAGTGATATGTGGTACAATGCCAATACCTTGAACATGTGCATGTTTTGCAGGGGTTCCTGTGTGACCCGGATGACATCCTAGAGGGCCTAGGCCTGGCAGCGGTGTCAGACACAGTCCAGTCACTAACTGGATTCCCTCGTCTGGAACCTATGGACTTCCACACTGCCAACTTTTGTATTGCTGTCATTTGTCTGACATTTCTCGCTGCTGTTTTACATCCAGTCATATTTTAGTCCTTCAAAGGGACTCAATGAAAAGTTGTGTATGACTGATGTATGAAAAATACTGTTTTTACGAGTGTACAATATTTGGAAGTGCTTGTTTTAAAAATTGTTTTTTTTTTTAATGTGCGAAATCCCACTGTGTTTTTAACTTGTTAATTGTTAAATTATTTATTTCTGACCTGTAATGTTAGTGGTAACAACATGTTATGTCACTATGGTCTGTGGACCTCGCTTCCATATTAACGCAGGTATTCTGTATGTGTCCATATTCCCAATACAGTCATGATATGTCACTATGGTTTAGAGACAGATGTTTCTGTCACAATGAAACAACAATGTGATAGCATGTGTCTGTCATAATGAAACAACAATGTGATAGACTGTTGAATGAATACATTTTTAAAACTAGTTTCACTTGTTTTATGCTACAATGTGATCTTTACATTTTCTCATTTAACCGATGTTGGTTCTTGTAAATCACTGTGAGACACTGTGCCATTCCCGTTGTTGAATAGAATAATTTCCATGAGTTGCTATACAAATGAATTAATTATGATTTATTGTTGGGCAAATTTATTTATTTGAAATTATATTGCATATTATATATTGAATCACTGAATGGTGTAACCATTTCTCCTTTTCAAGTGAATGGGTTTTGTGTAACAATGCTGCACATTAACTTCATACATTTGATCTATCTTAACTATTGTCTATGGCCTGTATGTATTCATTTTTAAAAATTGTTACTGATTATGATGTACTAAAGCTAACATGCACTGACATTACAATCCTTACACCACACATTGCTAATGGTTATCTCCCCCAATTTCTAGGAACAGATTTGTGGCCCCCACGACATCTATGATGAGAAGGGAATCTCCAGGGTTGCCATTACAGTAGCTGCCCTTGTCGCCATAGGAACCAACCCTAAACAGTCTGCTGTATGACAGTTGTGTGAGCTGTTGGGAGCTGTTGCGTGCCTCTTGATCATGTTGGTCCTGCTAGTGACAGCCACAGAGTTGATGGGACTTCCTGTCTATCCGTATCGTTAATTCTAGGCCATCCATTTCCCTTGTTACCTACAGATGATTGCCTCGACAGCTGGAATGTTCTGTATTCCATGATGTTTATAATCTGTACCATTCTAGAGAGTGGTTGTCAACGCACTCTGTTCAACGGAACTGTTAACTCTTCTTACCTCCTACTCTTGCATCATCATCATTACCTAAGCTGACAATCATGTTTCGCCAACAATTTCTTCTAGCATACAGTCCGAATGATAATGACTAACTTTGTGTTGCTATCTTTTGATGTGCCATGTCTTTAAATATCTTTGAAATATTGGAGCGTCAGAACACTTTTAAAAAAATTTTGTTTGAATTATTTATGGTTAGAAATATAACTTAAATCTCGGATCATTTGGACTGTGATGCTTGTTAGGGCCGTCGTCGTTCCTCCGCAAACCCCTTCCGTTTTTTCAAAAAAAACACTTATAGTTTAATAGATAGTATTTATAAAAAGGATTCCTTGACCAAGAGGCATTACTGGTAGGAAATCTGGTGCAGATCTTAAAAGGCTGTGAATGTGTAATGACCGAAGCTTGATCACAATTTTATCCACAATCTTTGATTTGTTTTAGTTATACATAATGTGTATTTGATGGAGACTAAGATTCTATCTTTTTAGAATAATTTGATCATTGCCTTTGTTTCATACTGACTTTGTTGTCAAAACTGCTTTATGGCAATACAGAATTCAGATTCAATAATGATTTCTTTTTAAGACTGTTCTGATAGAGTTTTAATGGATCACTAAATTAATATTATTTCTTTTTTAAAATAACCTGATGCTGGTTGAAAAATTGAAATTATAGAGCTTTTTATTTTAAAATTACCTGACGCAGTAAAATATTGGAAGAAATTTTATAAATTATAGAGCTGTTGTTTTTTTTTCTTTTCTTCCACCACAAATCTTGGTTGGTCTGTATGTTTTGTTTGTGAATGCAAACAAGGGCTGTGCAACAGGAATTACTGTAAATACGCTGTGTGACACACTTTTTTTCACAAAGTAAACATTGGATGACAGTTGTATGTTTATAAGAATCCAACTGTTAGACGCCTCGCAGTAAAAATGACAACCTGACGTCTGCTCAAGACTCTGTAAATGACATCACCAGTAAGTAATATACTTAACAGATGAGTCTGTTTATATCATGTCAAAACTGTTCATTTTTTTTGCCTTAAGTTATAACTGATTCTATATTGGTTCTGTAAGTTAATGCATTTATAAACATGAAGTTCAAATGTGAATACTGTGCCACCTGAGAATACAAAGACTAAATTCTCATCAAATAGATGATAAAATAGCAGCAGATTAAAAAAAAAATTTTTTTAATACTCAATCTCATTTTTATCACTTATATTAGGCTATTTTACATCAACAAAACGTGTAACTAACGTTAATTAATTAAACAATGTTCCTATATGACTGTACCAATATGTTTATAATTTGCACTGTTTTTTTGTTTTTTTTTAATATTTGTTCTAAATAAAGTACTTACAAATTTTCCATTTTTCTTTCTCTGCTAATCATTGATTTGAAAAGTATAATTGTGTTTTCTGTTTACCAAAAGTAATAATAATTATGTAATGTCACATGGCTTGAGTTCCGATGTGCCAGTTTTAAGGGGAGAATAGAATTCTAGTAATGTGACAGAAACAAATTTAGTAAACAACAACAAAATGATCCCGGAAAATTCCAGCTAACATTTAATGTCCAAATTTTTTTGTCTTTTCATAATTGTAACCAAAAAAAATGTTTGAATTTGAATCAATTGTGTTCATAGTTTGAAAACTGTTCAGAGCTTTATTGACACACATTTGTGTCTCACCGAGTTGTCTTTACTAAGGCATGTTTTTAGATCACGATCTGAGCACTATCTATAACGCTACAATGACAAAAGACTTAAGTGTATTTTCTGTGTTAAAAACGGAATTAGAAAGTTGTTCACTTACAGTTGGTTGTTAATTCATGTCATGAAGACAATGCTAAACATTCGGAATTCTTTTTCAAAAAAATCAAACTTTAGTCAACACTAACAACTATTAACTTTAATTGATAATTGTTGATCTGTTTTATATAAATTTTGTTCCTATTTATAAAATTATAAAACAAATTTTTATTTATTTAATTTCATCTTTGTGCCCAGGTGCATTTTCTTTGATTAAAAAGTGAACAATTTCAAGATATACTAGAACTGAGACCAACTGAATAAATTAACCTGAATTAGTGGAAGTCGGTTTTTATAGATTTCATACGCCTAAATAACTAGATATTTTATTTTCAATTAAAAATACCTGATGTTGGAACTCAGATTAGCCAGTTGGATAAAATCTTAATTACTAGATCTCAGATGAGCAGATTAAATAGATTACTCCACATAGCTTGGCATGCTCTCTAAAAAAGAAGGTGCTTTAAACTTCCATGTATGTTTATTATTCTTGTACATTTCTTACGTTGTTCCCTTGCTACATTGTTACTGTATGTTTACATGAAACACAACTCCAACTAACACTTTAAGTCAGGGATGGACAAATGAAAAGCTATTGGATGGACAAATGAAAAGCTATTGGATGGCTGCATATATATTTTGCCATATTAGCATTACGTTACGAAGGTCAATGACTGTTTACAAAAATAGAAAATCGGAATGAAATTTAATTTTTTTTTAATTTTAAAACAATCGTAACGGTACATGAAATTATGTAAAATTCAACAAGATAACTTTAAAAAACGATGTAGTTTTTTAAAATTCTTAAATGCCCTCGGGTGCCGCATAACATCAGTTGACGGCCGCATGTGGCCCTCTGGCCGTGGTTTGCCCGTCCCTGCTCTTATGCAGTAATCAATAAATAGAGATCTTTATTGAAGACTTTTTAACAAGAGGACTTTTCTTTTCTGTCATCATATCTAATTTAATTTCAGTCTCTTTAAAATGTGTTAGTTCCATATTAATCAATATGGCTAAATAAAAAAATTTAAAATTCTTTGAACAACCTCTGGCAATTATGGCATGGCGCATGCACAACTAACCTTTATTTTTGAAGCATTTAGCTGTCTTATCATGTGAAAACTAAAAAGTTGGAAACAAAAGGGAATCGTTAAAGAATCATATCACCGGTTTTATTTTTACATACAAGAAAGTGCTGGTCGATGCGCCTTTGATACAGCCTGTTTTTTAAAATATTTTTTATATTAGTAAGCTGCATTTTGTAAGTCCTTACAGGTAGAAACTTTTATGTGTGCCATTTGACCAACTATTTGATCTTCATTATAAATTGTATTTGAGACGCTCACTTTGATATTGGTCTTAACCCAATTCTTGAATTGCAGTTAAAATAGAAACTTATCATCTTTGTTCTCTAACTTTTTTTATTTTTTTATAAAGTATCAAGATTATGTTGAATATTTGACGTATGCTTGTACTGTTGATGATGTATGTTGTACAATTGATGTATGCTGTACACTTGACGTATGTTGTACAGTTGATGTACCCTGTCTGCTGCTTAATCACAAGCTCCATTGCTCTGATCACCTTCTGAACTGAATTTTAAACTTGAATTCTGTTTTATTCCCTTTTGATTGAAAATTAAGTTTTGAGAATCGATTTAAAAAAATTGTCCCACGACTTTGCCACCGGCGAAAGGCTTGACGAGAGGTAACATGACCAATTATCCCAGCAGCTCAGATATGATGGATTGCTCCTTAGCTAGAAGTGTGTTTGTGTGCCGATGTCGTGTCAAATTATCCAAATTGTAATTTATTTTTCTTTTAATGTTATCAGTATCTACAGAAACCAAGTCTATGACAAATTATTTGTCAGCAGATATCTATGACAAAATCATGAGTGTAAAGAAATCTATGAAAAAATTCATGTTTTGTATAATTTGGCCTTGGAGTTGGCCATGAATTCATATTCAATTGTAGCTATGACTTGTTTAACATGTAACTTACATTGTAAGTTGACAAAAGTGGTCAAAATAAAAGGAATGGCTTCAGCAAGCTTGATAAGTGAGACAAAATATTGCCTCCGGTCATACTGTGTACAAGAAGTTCATTCAAGCTACTCTTCCCCTATGTTATATGAGAATTTAGTTTCATTAACTTAATAATCATCATGCCAACTGTCTTGTGTTTTAATAAGTGGCTTGGACTGCAAAAAAACTTAACAAGGCTGATGTCATCAGTCAACGGTTGTATTTTAGTGAGAGGCTTGGAGTGTTTTTTAAAACTCAACAAGACTGATGTCAAGACTGATGTCATCAGTCGGACATCAGTCAACTGTTGTATTTTAGTGCGAAGCTTGGAGTGTTTTTAAAACTCAACAAGACTTTTGTCATCAGTCAACTGTTGTGTTTTTAATTAGAGGCTCGAACAGTAGGTTGATGGCCACTAGAAATAGCATTTAGCATTATGTTGTAGTGTGAGCTTCGAGTTAAATACAGACTCAGCTATGAGAGATATAGCATGTGACATTATTATTTGAACCAATGCATGTGAGAGCTTGGGTTGGGGGGGGGGGGGGGGGGGGGGGGGGGTGGTGATTCTCATCTTGGACAGTATTGAAAAGGAAGATAAAGAAGATTTTGGGGTTTCATTTTGAATTTCCCTCTCACAATCGAAGATGACCTTTATGGAGAAGTACATCTCTTAAAGTCACCTCGGTCACTCGTCAAGAACAGTAGGCCCACTTGTAACAAGCCAGTGGATGAACATTAGTGGGAAGATTTTGCGCTCTACCACTGCAATTCAGTGCATTATTATGATCATTCTGCTTGCTTGTTCCTTGTTGTCATGTCGGCTGTCAGCAATGCTGAAGCCAAACACTGCTAGTCATTCTTGACAACTACCATATTTATTGGCGTATAACAAACCCCTGCGTTTAACACGCACCTCAATTTAAGAAGGAAATTTCAGGTGAAAAAAACGAAACATTATATTGGCGTATAACACACACACATGATTTTGCCCCCTATTTTCGGGGAGAAAAGGTGAAGGTGCGTGTTATACGCCTATAAATACGGTTGTTGTTTTTTTCTTTCTGCATGGCTAGTGATATAATATGAATATTAATCCTGCTGCTTTTTAACAAAACATTATATTGGCCCTATCATTTGAAATTATGGTTCTCAATTTTATCCCAGCTTTTAGCAGAAACATTCAACAATAAATATTTGCTGATACTAATAAATTATTTTAAGATAATCATTGGCTCCTACATTACATTACGGGTGATGACAGAGATATAGCTTCAAAATAACCGTAATGACTAATTCAGGCTGAGCTTTTTTTAAAATAGATATACTACATTAATGCAGAATTGTTACTTACTTTCAAAATCTCTAACATAGCCAACCACCCCCACCAACTGTTTCTGTGGCTGTCCACCTCCACTGTTTCCGTCGCCGACCACCCACACCGACTGTAACCAAAACAAATACTTGCCATTGTCGTCACCACTCTAAACTAAGTACAAAAATGTTTGAAACTTCTAAAGTTGTGACCTAGAAGCTCACTTGAGAGTTAATTCCACTAATCCAACACTATGTTAGTTGCTACCCAGTACCCATATTGTCATCCTGGAAACTCTCTTTAAGATTTAATGCCACTAATCTAACTCAAACACTAACGCTATGTCAGTTGCTACCACTATTGTCATCCTGGACACTCCTTCAAGCAGGTGTAGAGCTTTCATCTCTCTGTTTTCTTCTATATGACCTCCACATTAAAAATTGTAAAGTCCCAAGTTTTGGAATCTCTTAAAAATCAAGAGGCTTGTCATTACAATTACGAGTGAATAGATTTGTCCCCAATGACATGGAATGGTGTCATTTTTAAGTTAATCCGTTCATTCATTAATAAAGCTGTTTTAAACAAATTAAATCTTGACACCATTTGTGAACCCAGTTTTATAACAGCTCCCCCCTCACCCTCCTCAACAATCCAAAATGATTTTAGAAATTATAAGTAAGTATTTATAATTTTCCACTGCCAATATAATATAAGAGTGATAACTAGTTAGGGGAATCTCGTTATAATTTTCTCCACTGTTTGTCAGAGAAGAGAACTGTGTACATATTTTTATAACAAGTTCTAACGTGTTAAAATACATAAAATGTCTTCTATATTTGTACATATAATGTCATAATATAATGAATGACACTGCTGTTGCTATGCATTTGTTTCATATTTCCATGTGCATGAACTTCTTGCCCTCGTAAAATCATTTCATCTTCTGTTGTGTCAAGTCTTTTCTGCGCAATATTCAAGTATTTAAGTATTTTAATGACTAAAAGGGATGTTAACATTATTTTGTTCCAAGAGAATTTAGCTTTTCTTTTGTGATTTTTTTTTTTCTGTATCGAAATATTTTAGTTTTTGTAGATGAGCTGTTGGACAGCTGAATTTAAATATGATTGAACTGTGACTACGTTTTGACTTTGGTTAAAGTAAAATTTTTGCACTAAAAGCTACACTCGTAAAGTCATCAATGCAGTACCGTTAATA